GTTACATATGGGGAACGAAAAGTCTGTTTGTCAGTCAAAATATCTTTTCTTCCCCTAGCAGTGGGGAATGGAATGGTCCAGTGAGGTTAGCTCAGAGTGCCTGAGGCATGCAGTGGCTTACTTAGCATCCTATGTATAGTAGGTGCCTGGATTTCTGCTCAGTCACAGTATCTGGCTGGGAAAAATGTTCCAGGGACAAGGACTGGTGGGGTAATACCCACCAAAATCATCACCATCCCCCTTTTCCATCAGATATTCCTCTAGAACATTTAGTGAGACACATACGTCTAACACAGAAAACTGAAGTTTTGAAGAGACACAGACAGGGGTGTGTAAAAGAGCCAGCTGTAGACCAAATACAATGGGCTATGTGACACCAGGGAAAAACATTCTGGAGAGACAGCAGTGGCCCTTTGCCATGTGGTGCCAATGGAGGAGGCAGTCAGTCACCTATAAAGTACAGTGTAAGGAAGAAGCAGGATGGGGAAAAGCTAACAGGAACTTTGAGTGATCAGAGAGCAACATCCAATACCAAATTATCCCTAGGGAAGCCAGGCAAGAGGAGGTAATCCTGTCCGGGCAGCCTCTAGAAGCTGTTCTGGGAAAGCAAGGTGCACCAAATCCAAACACAGAATGGCAACTGATTTTAAGACTGTCACCCATGGCTTCCCAGTTACCCAAACCATCCTTTGTTCCCTGGGTGAATAGGATTCCACCTGTTTCATGTCCAGCCTTTATCTCCTTTGGGTATACAAAATAAAATAAAATAATATAAATAAAACAAAATAAAAACAAGAGATGAGACTAAAAATGCTAATCACTGGAATAGAATTCATACATATTAGAAGAAAGAGATGAAACAACCACTATTGCTTGAATGATGTGTGTTTAGGGACAAGAGGCACTGGGGGGTCTAGTCCTTCAACAAGACTCTCATTCTGACACCCTCATTCGCCCAACAGTCTCAGCAGGCCCTTTGATGCCCCTTCCCTTCAAAGCATTCAGAGTCCTGCTCTCTACTAGGTGGAAGGGATGGTAGTATGGTTAAGAAAAAAAAAATGTCCGCTAGAATGAGTTACACATCCCCCAGATAAATGTAGCATCCTATGCTACGAGAGGCAGCATAGCATCATGGTGAAGAGCACAGACTCCAGAGCCAGACTGCATGAGTTTACAGTCCTGACTCTGACATTCACTAGCTATGTGTTCTTGGGCCACTCTCTCTCTCTGTTTCCTCATCTGTAAAATGGGGATACTAAAAATCATACCCACGTCATAGGGTTGTTACAAGGAATAAGTGTGTATCTATAAGGCCCTTAGTTCCTAGCACAAAGCAAGTGCTACGTGAGTGCTTATTAAATAAACTGTTTCCTAAATTGCTTTAGAAGTTTCTTAAAGGGTGATCCTTAATGATGGAGTTTAATAATAATCCACTTCAAGAAAAAGATGTTTGGGAGCACTCCTCACATCACATTACATGCATAACCATCTACTACTAACAAGGCCCTGAGACCCTTAGAAATCTCTTCACCCAGGATGTACTGACTGCCCATGACTGTCTACCTTCAATGATTCTTTTGCCATCCAAGGAAAATATCCAGGACTAAATGTCCAACCTCAAAAACAAAAGCTGTGGTTTTTACGCCTCTGCATCTCCAGACCTTTGCCTCCTGCCTGCCTTTGCAAAGTGCTTTCAGCTAAACACAAATCAGATTCAGCCCCATTAACAGCTGTGCAGACAATAGCTGAGGCTCATTGCTTGGCAACCTCCACCCTCCCACTCACCTCCCGGTTTCCTGCTGAATCAACTCATGCTCCAGACCAGGTGGTTAAGGATGTGTCAGTAGGTCACCAGCATGGGTCAGTCTCCCACAGTCAGTAGGGTTGTGGGGGAAGGGAGGATGTAAATGAACCAGGGGTCAGTCCTTGTTTGTATAAAGTGGCCAGTCTAACAGGAACCAGAACCCAATCCTTTATGAAAAGATTTGGCCTCAAACATAATAAGGTTCCCAGTGGGTAGTCTGACACCAAGTGAAGAACTGTAAGAAAGCTATCGCTTCATTGTGACCTGAGCAAAGACCAAAGAAGCATGAAATTGATGGGATTTTAATGCTTCTGGTTTGGCACTAAGTTGAAAAATCTTATGAGAAGCCGGAATCTGGTACAGCACCCTGAGAACCAGGGCTGTGGAAGTATTTTGCTCCCATTCCTTGACACAGACAGATTGGCAGAATTAAGCAGCACAAAACTGGATTGTTCACATGCTGAAGACCCTCACTCACCAAGCATTCTGAATATAAATATTAGAATCAGGTCTAACCTGAAGCAAAACTGAGACATCTTTTTCATCTTTACTTTGTTTCTATTCCTTTGTCTCTATTTCCAGTACCCTCATAGTGACCCTTGGCTTTCTAAGAGTCCTGTCCCCCCAAATTTTTCACCTCAAGGAAACCTGACTTTTCCTATCACTGAGCCATATGTTGGCAATGTTGTTGCCTACTCCCCCCTATATTGTTTCCCTATCTGTGGGTAAAACTGCAATATTTCCAGAATTTCTCACCTGGCCTTGTGCATCTCCATATCAATAAGTTTCCAAGGGTGGAGAGAAGTAGTCCGTCTCCATATAAATAGGTGATTACAAGGGTTGTGGGGGGGAGGGGCAAGGATATAACTGGATCTGAGAAGTTTGGTGGGGTCCCTTTTTTACAGCCCAGTTGTGAGAGACAGGGGCGAGAAGAAGTGGACGACTGCAATAAACAGGTTTCTTCTACTTTATTTCTCCCTTTGACCGATTTCAGTTTCAAAGATAATTTGCCCTGGGCTGGGAGAAAGATTTTCCCCTGGGAGTTACACTAACCTAGCCTACATCCTATTCTTTTGGAATCTGCTTCCTAATGTATTGGCAATTTAATGAACAAAATTATGTTAAGGTATCAAACGCTGAAAATAAATTAATATGGTATCCTTATTTGGTATGTCACAGACTGTGAGCTGTCTTCCAAAACATTTTCTCCCATTTTTTTCCCCTAGTAACATGACTAAATCACATTCCCCAGCCTCCCTTACAATTAGATGTGACCATGTGATCGAATTCTGACCAATGGCATATAAGAATAAGTTCTAGGCGCCACCTCCAGGCCAAAGCTTTTAAGAAAAGAGTTCAACTTTCCAGGCTCACTCTTCTCTTCCACCAGCTGGTGTAGATGCCAATGAGGTCTTGGGAAATTGAAGGGCCATTAGATGGGTAAAATCCAAAGGTCTAAATAACTGTGGGGAGAAGAACCATCTTGCTGGCCTGAAAACTCACCCAGACTGCTATGGGAGCAAGAAATAAACTATTGTGTTGAGATACAAAATACATGTTTGGGTTTACTCATTACCACAAACTAGTACCCTTACTAAGACACCTGGAATATATGCGTTTTTCCAGATGTCTGCTGCAGACAAAATTTCCTATTTCAAAAGGCTGAATCTCTAATAGCAGTACATTTTGAGTATCCTCCATCCCTGATGGAGACTTGGGGGATAGACCTTTTCACAGTACCCATCACCTTACTGACAGAGACAAATTATGGATGGATTCAGCCATAGAGTATAATGGAGCAAGAAGCTTGGACCAAGCAAAGATCTAGCCTAAATCTATTAACTAGGAGAGGTGCTGAGGGAGCCTGGCCAGAATACAGAAGCTGGCTTTAGCCAGGACAGTTGGGATTTCTAGAGCAGCAGCCATAGCTTCACACAATGGTCAGAATGAAGAGATCCAGCCTAACAACAAGAAATTCTAAAAAGATGTTCCAACCCAGAAGTCAAGCATAGGGTCTGTCATCACCATGACCTGTACAAATCTTGGCAGTTGATAGGCTATCAAGGAGTGGGCTGGGGCAGAGTCTAGGGAAAGAAGATTGGCAGATGTGCAAGCTTCTGACTGGGGACACAGCCCTAGAGGGAAACAAGGCCAACTTACCAGATAAACTGTAGAGTGGGAGATTAAAGCAGTCACCTAGAAAGAGGGGTGGGAAGCACTGCAATTCAGGGGTGGAATGAATGCACTGTGCTCACTCCTGGATCAGTATTTCAAGCTCCATTAAAGATGTCTGAGGTTACTAGTATATTTTCTGTCATTTTAAAAATTGATTTAGGAATAGGGCAGGGAGTGGTCTGGGCTGCAAATGGGGCCCTACACCAGATAACCAAGAAGACACTAGGGAAGGCGAAGGCAAGGGAAATGTGGGAGGAACTGACAATTTAAAGATCCAGGTTTCAGCTAATGTCAATGCTGCCCAACAAATGTGCATATTCTTCAGAAAGGCATGGCTAATGTCAAACCATCCGCAAACAATTAAAAATGCATAACATCCTCTTCATTAAAACAGTACCATTAAAGACCAGAACAATTAGCACATTTAAGCATGCATGACCAGTACCTCTTTCATTGGTTAGTGAGCAAATCCTCTTTGTTCTTGGGAGAAAGATTCGACTTTAGCCAGAGTCAAAGAATTATCCAGCTAATTTTGGCCATGGCCAGAGTTGGGACTTCATCTGTAGAAATTGCTACAAAAATAGGCTTTCAGTCTTATTTTGCAATCGTGATCATTTCTGACACTGGGTTGTTTGTTGTACATTTATTATCTGTTTCCCTCGGAGCCCTTTCACAGCAGCGAAAGTACTCCCTCTGATGGTGTCTACGTTTCACTCACAACTAACAACAGGGCATTTTTCTGTAGAATTTTTCTCACAATGCGTCTAACAACCCCCAAAGCCAGAACCCTGACAGCACTTAGTTCAAGCTTTGATTTAGCTCTTTTGGTCCTTTTTCTGAAAAGACAAAAAAAACTGGTATGATCTGTATTGGAAATTGGAATACACATACACGTACAAATACGCGATGTACTTATAGCATATGCATAATTTAACAGCTTCGCTCTACCTGATTATAAAAGACTTTGCTTATGAAACACTTTGAAAAATTCAAATCAATGTTAAAATGCTGTCTTACCCACCTGGAAGAAGATTATATCAGTGGTGCTTACAGAGGACAGGGAATGGCAGTATCCAATCACTGCAACAAGGAAGCTGTGGCTGCACAGTGTGACGTGGACAGCAACAGGCCAGCCCCACCAAACAAAGCCCTGCAATTCCAATAATTTGTATCAAAGATGTTGTGAGAGCCAACAAAAGAACCAACAGCCATTTCCCCTTGAGCAGCCAGACTTATGAAGCCCCCGTGACCCCCTCCACCACCCATCCACACTGATCAGGCCTTACTTTCTTTTCTGTACAGCATGCATTCTTTCTACTCTACCCCTGAGCCAGCCAGTAATGTCCAATCCCTAACACAAGTCCCACAACCTCTTCCTGCTTTGTTCCATTGCCACACTTCACTTCACCACAGAAAATCAGTAGTGGGAACCTTAGCCCTCCCTTCTGAACATCACAGCAATGCTGTCAGTTTAAATAACAATTTTCAAACACCAGTTTACAAAGCAGTGCCGGGTTGTGATGAAGTCTCTCACTGATTTTGTACAAAATGAGAAAAATAAGAGCACTGTAGTGAGAGCTTGTCATAAAGCTACAAGTATTCAATTAAAAGGAGTGTCCTGTATTCTGCAGTGACATCCTTCCTCCTTTCATCACGGGTGGGGGGCATTTAAAGTGCCCCTTCTTTCATGAAACTGTGGTGGTAGTAGGTGATGGTTGACATTCAGCTTGTTTTTGTTTTTACTTGCCTATTTTTTCACTTTTCAAAAATAGAAATGCGCTATCTGGGAGTGGTAAGGGATAGAGACATTAACCAATTAATCACATGAGCTACTTTTAAACACACCAAGAATGAGATTAGAAGGACCATGGGACGGGGGATTGCAGGGGCGGGCGTGGAAAGTAGGAGGGATCTGTTTCAGTTGGAGGAGGAAGCAGAGAGGGCCAACAAGGGGCAGTTTAAGCACCCCCAGTGAGGCGTTTTTTGAGAACTGCCCCCTGGAAGGCAGTGAAGGAGTAACAGGATAGTTACAGAGGAGGACTGGGGGTATACTGAAGATAAACTCTTTTTGATTTTATATCGAAGCCCAACTCCAACTGCAGCCTCTCATTTGCCTAATTTTAGTGACTCTCAAAACTGCACATTGGGATACACTGCACTGACATCATTTGAAAATAAGACTCAAATTTTATTCTGATAGCAATTAAATTCCCAATTACCTGGAAGGCAAACACAGTTATGCAAATTATAGATGCAGGCTGACTAATATTAGAACTCAAATGGATATCACTTCAGAAGTAGGCATTTTGAATCTCTTTTCCTTTTTAAAGGCTGCAGTGAAATTTAGTTTAACTGGACTTTGTGAGTTACAGGACTAAACTCCATTAATTTTCTGAATATAAAATGTTAGTTTAGCTTATCTGAAAATTGATCTTCTCCCAAGACTATCCCCTTAATCTTTTTCTCCCTCTACTTCTTTATAAATGTATTATCTAATTCAGTCACTATATTATTTATCATCTATTATTATTTATTAATTCACTAACACTATCATAATTCTGCAATGGAATTTTTGCCATAACGTTTTTCAGTACATTTGCATACTGAATAAAACCATATTGATTCTTAAGGGTTTTTATGCTCTAGAAATGCTTGCTGCAGACAAATTTGCAAACAAATTTTTATTTGGTTTTCAAAGACATTATTTTGACATGATTTCAACTGATGCCAACAAATCAAACCAAGTTCTGCAATAAATGCCTTCTTAATGGGTTTTGCGCTATTTGTTTTAGTTGACACCATTTATTATAATTTAACAGTGTTTCCTTCCTAGGAAAGTCCAAAATCAATAAAAAATGGTGACATATGTTTGTATTTATTTGGAAATACAAATGCAACCAAAGGGCTCTGTCAGTGTACGATTAATAGAGTACAAGATGTTGTGGTTTGGGGGCATCTGATTGTCTGTCTTGTAATATGAATTTTGAAATAGCTTGGGATTCCTGCTCCTCGACTTTCAGGTTAGGATAGAATTTCACATTAACGATAAATCACCCTGGATGTGTGGTTTTCCATTTCAATTTGCTGCAACATAGCTTCATCAGTTCACAAGGGGGGGAGTGCGACCACATGTGAAATGAGGAGAAAACAAGCTGGTAATAAAATATTAAGACAAAGAAATAAACAGGGTAGAAATGTTATTACTGAGAGAGATGCTGAAACTGACATATCTGTCTTTTCTTCCAACTATCATGGTGCACAGGCTGGCAATGGAAATCCCAAAGCCCAAGATTGGGCACAGAGGTTCAGCGTCAAGTTCTCCTCACAACAACCTTTCTAGATAAATTCTTCTTCATATTGACAGGAGAGAAATATGATTAAGAATTCCAAGGAGAGAAAATGCCCTGCTCTGGGCCTGACTGCCAACCCTTTCACAAACACATTTTCAGGATCTGCCTGTCCCATGACCCAGGTTCAGTCCCTTGGTTCTCTTCTGCAAACCAGGTACAAATGAAATTCTATCATAGAATTATAACACCTCGTGGTTAGAAGGATCTTAAAAGCCATTGAGTTTAGTGGCTCCCAAAGGCTAGTGCAGGACTAGTGCCAAATCCTAATGAAATTTTGCAGGTCTGTGAAAAATAAGGGCAATGTGGCAGATAGCTAAATTTATTAAAGGACTTTGCTTTATTCTATTTTGGGGGTATGAAATGATGGTGTTCAAAATGGTAGGGTTTTCTTTTTTTCCTTAGCATCCTTAGTAAAGGGTCAAACTTTATTTCTTGTCTCAGATCTTCATGGGAAGAGAGCTCCAGCACAATAATATTTCTGCCTCTGTTACCCCTCATTTACTCCTCCCCATGGGAGGTAGAAGGAATTACTTGATTTAATAAGTTTGAAAGAAGGGACTGAGCACCTTCCACTTGGTCCCTTTTCAGTTTCTCACTTTCTAGAGCCCTCTTGTCCATGGATGTTCACATCCTGCACCAAACAGGAACAGGAAACAGCTCCTACAGAGAAGGCCTACAGTTGTCCAGTTGGGACAATTACCGGGTGTGTTAGTTGAATGGGGACTGGCTGCAGATCTAAAGCCACAATCTCCATTTCTGCTTTATCGGTGCTAGCAGTGATATTTTACTTTCTAGCCAACTCCTGAGCCTATATATCACAATTAAAAGCTCATAGCTAACACTTACAGAACATTTATTGTGAACAAGGCACTGTTCACATGCTTTACACTTGAGGTTGGTATTATCTCATTTTGAAGATGAGGAAACTGAGGCACAGAAAGTTTAAGGAATTTTCCTCAGCTATTAAGTGGCACTGCCTATATTCAGTCCCAGGCAGCCATTTCCAATGACTTTCAGTCTCAGGAAGAGAAGAAAAGTGTTACCCACTGCCAAAAACTGTTATCTCAAAAACTTTATCAGGCCTCACCTGGTCAAAAAAAAAAAATTAAAGCTGGAAACCTATATTAACATTATCAAAATTGTTTTGAGTCTTTACTAACTAGTCATACAGATCCAGTCCTCTAACAGCAAATGACTTGGTCCAAGCGTTCATGAGGTTCCAGAATCCCTTCTCCCTCTTCCTGCCAACTGTTCACCCCGCATCAATGTACCTACTGACCTGTAGTAATAGGAAACACTATTCAAGTACTGGCCTTTGTTAGGACTGTTCTAATTGACAGGAAATACTTCCTTTTTGACAGAAAATACTTGAAATCTGCTCCTAATTTGTCATAAGTAGCCACACAGCACACAGTTAATCCCTCATGGATGAAGCAGCCCTTCCTAAACATGTTTTCCACTCCTTGTTTAACAGCTTGGGTTCCTTATGTCATGGTCTAGAGCCCCTTCATTGCACTAGTAAATGTCTTCTAAAAGGACTCCAGTCTGATTATAGCCTTTAAAGTATGGTTTCCAAAAATAATCTGATAGTCCAGGTGAAGTCTGGCCAGTAATGATAAGAGCAGGCCCATTTCCTTACTAGCTTGGGATTCTACACTTTTATAAATATCTCCTCGTTCCTGCTTCCCCCAATTTAAATTAGTGATTTTTGTCAATAACTAAATCATCTTGAAGCACAGGCTCAGGCCGTAGGCATTTTCTATCTTAACTTTTATCCTGAAATCAAATGACCATCCAGTTTATATGTAATAAGAAGGTCAGAGAGGTCACTTACACCCACATATATGTCTGATACTACCTGGCACTTAGCTCCTGACCCAGATCTGCCACCAATCTCTACATCTTTCCATGGTTACTGATATTTGATGCCGGCCTGATCTGACAATTGATCTTGTTATAGCCTTTGGCTTCTCTGGAAAAGGATCTTGTTGAATGCCAGGGGAGCTTAACAGTGTCCTCAGACCTGTCATAAATATTTCCCCTATTCAATTTGCTTATTTACTGTGTGCCTTTGGGTGCATCTATAAAATGCCAAAATATCCAACTTATGCTGTCAGTAAATCAGGCAATTCAATGAGTGAAGATAATCAGATCAGCTGCTTATCAGCATGTAGAAAAACATAGTAGTCTAAGTATAAAATATTTAATAACAATGTTAAGGTGAATTTACATATGAGAGAGCCTTAATAAATTGGGGAGTAGTTAAAATTATTAGGGATTGTTCCTAAACATTTTAAAGCTGATGTCATGAAAAGATAACAAATCCATCTTCTTCCAAAATTTCTCTTACTTGCCACAGTTGCAAGTGGAATCTTAGGCTACAGGGAATACTGATATGACCCAATCTGGCAGGTCTTCAATTCTTAGAAAAACATGAGAGGACAAAATAATTCAGAGAAAGGATATGAAAATTCAGAATTCATAAACTAGTTATAACATGAGTGCCTGTGAGATACCAAAAAAAGCCCAGATTCATCCATGAATCTCAAAGCATTTTTTGATCATTAATCCACAAATTCAAATAACACTATAAGGAAATAGGATAATGATAAATTATAATTTAAATATAACAACCCAGAGGTTATGTACTTTGTCTAAGGATAACAAATATGACATTTACAAACTGAAACACATGAAAGAAATTCTCAGTCCTGCCTTTTATCAATTTATAAAGACTGTAAGGCCTTGGCTGACTCAAAAATAAATCAGTAGCTATTTAGGTTTAAGTATTTGGCTTTTCTCTAACTAGTTTATAAAGGAAGCCATAGGCCACATGAAAGCATTTTGACAATGTTGTTCAGGTGATAGAAACCTGAGCTTTGACTAAAATGATCCCTTGTTTTAAATAAATTCACTTTATCAGAATTCTAATTTAGACAACTGATAAAGAAAGTCATTTAATTTACTTTTTGAAGTATCTGAGAATGTATTATAAGGAATTTTCATGCTGGAGTACCTT